AATGCATTGATCAAGAACGATACATGGGAATTAGTACGCCCTTCCCCCCACCAAAATATCATAACCGGAAAATGGCTTTTTAGGCACAAACTTGGCCCTACAGGTGAGTTAACCAGGTACAAAGCTCGATGGGTTGTTCGTGGCTTCAACCAGAGATTCGGAGTCAACTATGATGAGACATTTAGCCCTGTGATCAAGCCAGCTACTATACGCATCATTCTCAGCCTTGCTCTCTCTCGAGGATGGCCGTTCCATCAGTTGGACGTCAAAAATGCCTTTCTCCATGGCCATCTGCAGGAGGTAGTCTACGCCTCTCAGCCATCAGGATTCCAGGATCCCCACAGGCCCAACTATGTATGCAGGCTGAAAAAGGCACTCTATGGCTTGAAACAGGCTCCTCGTTCGTGGTACCAACGATTTGCTGGGTTTCTCTACACGCTGGGTTTTCGAGGATGTAAGTCGGACACCTCTCTCTTCATCTACTCTCACGGGACAGACACTGCCTACCTACTCCTTTATGTTGATGACATCGTCCTCACAGCTTCCTCTCTCTCCTTAAGCGCCTGACTGAGCGACTTAAGGGGGAATTTGCTATGACTGACATGGGCGACCTTCATTTTTTCTTGGGCATCAATGTTCATCGGACAGCTCGTGGTCTCTTTTTACACCAGACACAGTTCACGCATGACATCCTAGAGCGTGCCGGCATGACCACTTGTTGTCCCATCTTCACTCCAGTCGATACGAAGGCCAAACTGTCCGGCACATCAGGCTCGTTGGCGGCCGACCCAGCTCTATATCGCTCCATAGTTAGAGCACTCCAGTATCTCACATTCACCAGGCCAGACATCTCCTACTCAGTTCAGCAGCTTTGTCTCCATCTACACGCCCCCCGGGATGCCCACGTCACGGCCATGAAGCGTGTCCTACGCTATCACCGTGGCACCTCCACTTACGGTATAACTCTGTCTCCCTCTGGCACAGATTCTCTCCAGGCCTATTCTGATGCTGATTGGGCTGGGTGCCCTGACACCAGGCGATCCACATCAGGCTACTGTGTATTCCTTGGGGACAACCTCATCTCTTGGTCCTCCAAACGCCAGGCTACCATTTCCCGATCTAGTGCTGAAGCTGAATACCGAGCCGTTGCGAATGCCGTTGCCAAAACCAGCTGGATTCGAAATCTCCTCCTAGAGGTACAACAACCCCTACGCCGCGCCACACTCATCTTCTGCGACAACGTCAGTGCTGTTTACCTCTCCACCAATCCGGTTCAGCATCAGCGCACTAAGCATATTGAAGTTGACATTCACTTTGTTCGTAACAAGGTGGCCCTCGGCCAGATTAGAGTCCTTCATGTGCCATCCTCGTCACAGTACGCCGACATATTCACAAAAGGCCTCCCGTTCATATTATTTCAAGATTTTCGGACTAGCCTCGGGATTCGCCCACCTCTGACGCCGACGTAGCCGGGAGCATGTTAAATATATTCTATATTTATGTTAAATATATATTCTATATAAATTGTACAAATATTGTTTCCTATTGTAGAATCCTACCATGATTAGGATTAGGAAAAGGTTGTATATATAAACCCATGTACTCCCACTTTATCATTCAATGAAAATCACAATTTTTCACACACATACTGGAGTGTAGTATATGTTTTTTTTTAAGATTGTTGTCTTTATATTTTTAACCTTTAAGCAAAATATAATGTAGAAGCCATTAATAATTTCCTCAGTCGATTCTTAAGTTTTCAGACACTCTACGAAGCAAGGATAGCAAGTATGTGCGCACCTCATAGACTTTCCTCCTATCATGTAGAAGGTGTTGTGGTTCCACAGCTCATTCACAAGAAAGGGCCTAAATTGATGAGTCAGTTAATCAATATAAAGACTAAGGAAGCATGCATTCAAAAAATGCAAAAGCATATGTAAATAATAATGCCGTAGATAGAAGTATGAGCTTAATTGTTACCAAAAATACATTTATGGCCTAAAAGTAGATGTTCGGAAATAACTTTAGTTACGTATAGTAGCTATATATTGGCATAATGGCATGAATATTACATTCTTGCAAAGCAATAGTTATTAGAAATATTAGAATGAATTCACAGCATAATATTCATCTAGTTCAATTCATCATCAAATGATGAGTATAAATATTACAAAGTGAATAATCTAGACAATCAAGGAAGGTAAGTGGAAGATAATAAAATATCTTTGATTGGTAATTTGATTCCAATCAAGGATATTATCCTAGTCATCAATATTATTCCTTTGTTTGACACTATTCCTTTGTTTGACATTTCTAACACTCCCCCTCAAGTTGAATCATCTGTTTCAGATGTTTAACTTGCTTAATGTTGCTTGAAAGAGTCCCGCTGGTACTGCTTTTGTGAGAATGTCTGCCAATTGATCTTCAGATCGGACATATGGAAGACTGATGATATCTGCCTCGAGTTTCTCTTTGATAAAGTGACGATCAATCTCGATGTGCTTGGTACGATCATGTTGTACTGGATTCTCTGATATACGAATAGTAGCGGTATTATCGCACATCAGTCTACATTTACCCTTCGGCGGATATCCCAAATCTTTAAGGAGTTTTCTTAGCCAAAGAATTTCAGTAATTCCTCGAGCGATCCCTCTGAATTCTGCTTCTGCACTTGATAGAGCAACTACCTTTTGTTTCTTGCTTTTCCATGTGACCAAATTACCTCCAACAAAGGTAAAATACCCTGAAGTGGATCTTCGATCATTTGGATTCCCTGCCCAGTCAGCATCTGTGTAGGCTTGAATATCTAAGTGACCATGTTTTTTGAATGTAACTCCCATATTAATGGTCCCCTTAAGATATCTCACGATTCGGATAGCTGCATCCCAATGTTCCTTCTGTGGTTTGTGCATGAACTGACTTACCACTCCCACAGCATATGCAATATCAGGTCTTGTGAGTGCGAGGTATATAAGTCTGCCTACAAGTCTTCGATACTTATCTTGATCAGCTTGTATTCCTCCCTCATTAATTTGAAGT